TCGTCTCAGAATTAATCTCGGACAATGACACGGTGAACCTTATCGTTGTATACTGTTGTCGGACAATACTGACTTATTATGTACATCGATCAACGTCAGACAAAGATTATACGTTAACGATCTGAAATGGCTGCGGCGGTGCCGTATTTATTGTTTATCATTATTATGACACACGCTGGTTCTGTGACAGTATTGTAACTGACACCGTTGGGGAGGCTCATATATCGCTCCCACAACAGGTCACATATCATACTGGTTCACAGTTTCTGTCCTGTTTAAAACTATATATTCATTACTGTACGATAAACTATTAGTGGTTTTACCACTGGTAATTAAAACATTATTATTCTGTTCTGAATTTATATTGATTAGCTTTTCACCGGTATCAAGGAAAGCGGGTAGACCTCGATCACGGGTAATGTTGGCACTTGCGAATTCCGTAAAATACGCACTTCAATGTTGGATCACCTGATGTGTCAGATGAAGGGGTACTGGAGCGGGAGATGAGATGTGAAGAGGAAAGTAAATGGCAGAACAGGACTGCAGATAGCAGAAAGGGGTAAAAATAGAAACATTTTTAGATAGATCTAGATCTAGTTTTTATTTGTCATCACTGGTAGGTTTTGATCCAGGAATCTTTTGAAAGTGAGGCGAACACAATGGGCCTGCCTTGTACAACATGTCAGCCCCTTGTTTTTTTGTTTGTTTGAGTAAAGAGAAGCGCATCGACATACTATAGGCCATTCAGTGCTGTAAAAGGGAAGACAGACAGATAGAAACAACCGAGGGAAAGTAAAGTAGGACCCACCAGTGGTACTTTCCAACTACCCACGCGTGAGCATCCACGACGTCTTTCTTATTATTAATACTGTCTTATCATTATCATTGTGGCGTCGGTGGCCTAGTGGTTAGGCAACCGTAAGGTCGTGGGTTCGAATCCCGTCGAGGGCCCGACGTTATGCCCTTGGGAAAGACACTTTACACGAATTTTCCTCACTTCACCCAGGTGGGAATGGGTACCCGGCTATAGACAGCGAAAGATCTTGTCAGTTTGTTAGTGTTTGAGC